GCCTACCTCTGCAGGAGATCTCGTTGCACATGAGAGTCCTGGATCGTGCCCCGGCTCCTCTCCTCTAAGCACGCCATCTCCTGTGCCAGGTCCTCCTGCCCAGTGGGCTTGATGAGAGGGCTGAGCTTGGACACCAGGCCCTGAAGAGCCTCCAGGTTGCTGTGGAAGTGGCCCTCTGTACTGAAAAACTCCACGTGGCGCTTCAGGCTTTCCTCTGAGCTCGCTGCATCCAGGCCGTTGCCTGCCTGCTGTAACATTTCTCGGGCATCTTGAAGCCAGTCGTTAGCTGCCTGAAAGACTCGATAATACTCTTGGCACTGACTATAAATCTCAGTTAAGGTGGCCTGGAAAAAACAGTCATGTTATTAGCGATTTTGCAAGCACAGGGGCAGCCCTTGATGACAATGCGTTTGCGGTAAAGAGTGTAAAGTTCTCATTTCTAATTCCAGCCTTGAGTCGTGGGGACACATAGGACTTGGGGAGATTCCTGCAGACTGACCGGTGAAAGGGGTGAAAAGAGAAGAGGGGCAAAAGGATTGGAAAGGAGTAATGTCCTGAGCATGACTCAACCTCTCCTTCTTTTGTGGTTCTTTGATAAAATACCTTCTCTTTGGAACGTTATATTGTGGTAAAGTAAGTATAACCTTAACCACTCCATTTACCATATTTTAAGGGCACAGTGCGGTGGCTCAATTACCGTCATAGTGTTGTTGATCCAGGTGGACTCTTTCTAACATGTCCTCATGCAGTAGCAGTGAGTGCTCCCTCCCCAAACACAAGTTCTTACCTCTGAATGGACAGAACTTGTAAGACTCCATGTAAGGCCCGGTTGGGAGGGCGGCTGGGAAACCCTGTGTAGACTCTCTTTGTGTTCTCGTTAAGGAGAGTCATTCTGAATGTTCTACAGAGCAGCAAGGGAAGGGGCTCATGGCCCTTAACTGCCTCCTCGATAAAGGGGTGGGGAGACAAAGCCCCCAGTGGGAGACCAGATGGTGTGGGGGACTGTCTCAGGGACAGGATCAGAGTTGTTCTATTCATCTAGTTCTCCATTTGTAGACTCTGCAACCAGTGCTAATGTTAGAAATTCCAGGACTCATGTTGTTTTAAGGTGTGATTTCTTAAGGATGTGCTTGATCTGTTCCCTAATGGTGATGGATAACTGAGGAATCACTAGAGTATGAGAATCATTGAGTGGCAGGAACTGTTGGGCTCTGGGCTGCTAATCAGAGATCGGGACTTTGAGTTCAGCGGTGTCTCACAAAAAGGCGGGTGATCTACTTCTGAATAATCCACTTTGAGAAACACCAGAAGCGCAGTTCTACTCTGACCCACACAGTAGACTTGAGGATGGATTGACTTGAAGACAACTGGCTTTGGTGGTGGTGGTGGTTCCTGTGTTATAAGTGATGGTGTTACAAATAATAACCTTGGTGAGTCAGTGGTTAAACACAATTTGAACCCACCAGCCACTTCATGGGAGCAAGAGAGGGTGGTCTGTGTCCATAAAGATCCACAGCCTTGGAAACCCTGTGGAGAAGTTCTCCTCTGTCCTCGAGGGTCGCTAGGAATCAGAATTGATTGGATAATCGAACCAAAGGCCAACTCACTGCCATCGGGTCTATTCTGACTCATAGCGGCCTTGTAAGACTGAACAGAACTGCCCCTTTGGGTTTCTGAGACTGTAAATCTTTTTTCTGGGAGTAGAAAGCCTCATCTATCTCCTGGATTCGAGAACATGGGCCTATGGTATGTTTAGTGACATTGACACAGAAATCCCATGAAATCAATGAGCAGAACTTAGCACCCAAAACATCCCCCGTAAGTCTCTGTGGAAGACAGTTCTATGTAGTACCGGAATAGAACTACTAAAAGAAGCAATTCTAATAACAACAAACACCACCATCACCCTTTACGTCCCCTGTAGTTCCTTACAGCACAGCACCTTGGCAAAGACACATAGGAATCCCCCTTTCACGAACCTGCCTGGTGCGTAAAGCCTCCTGAACTCGGCCATCGAGCTCTGAGAGCTCGGCGAGGGTGTGCTCCACCTCGGCCGACACCAGCTCCTTCGCTTTCATGCATTTCTCCTTCTCCTTGTGACTCAGGGCATTCATGATCCTCAGGCTGGACTGGACCTCCTCCTGATGGATCTGGACCTTTCGGATCTCCTCCTGGATGTCCTGTAGGTTGAGGTCCAGGCACACGGGCCCACTCAGCTCCGCCTGCACCCTTCTCAGCCAGTCCAGGGAGCGGCTCATCTCCGTCTGGAAGTCTATGCTCTGCACCAGGCGGCTCTCACACTCTGAAACCGTCTCGCTGATGGTGGCAGTCAACCCTTCCAGCTCCTCTTGCCAGGCCTGGAGCTTACCTTTGGCCTTCTCATAAGCCAGGGGACCCAGGTGTGGAGAGAGGTCTTCAAGATGGACAGCGACTCGTTTCAGGAGAATCCCTGAATCCTGAAGACTGCCCGCCAGGGAGTGGTACACCTTGAGCTTCTCTTCTGTTGGAAGGGTCTCCTCGTTCACTTTGGACTGCTCCCCTTTCACAGCCTCCAGTTGTGTCTCCAGCTGTTGGCACAACTTCTCATGCTCTTGGTAGGCACTCGTGATGTCCTCTAACAAGCTAACCCGCTGTTCCGCTTGCCGCTTCAGCCTGTGATACAAGGTGAGAAGGCGCAGCATCTCGTTCGGCTGCCAAGGCTGGCCTGTGCTCTGGAAACTTTCCTTCTTCTGGTTCAGCTCATCGACCGCTTCCCCCAGGCTCAGCACCTGCCCCAGAAGCGTTCTGTAGCCGTTCTGCAGAGACAGGGCCTCTTCAACCACCAGGTCCGTGGGCACTTTGCTCATCTGGTTAAACTGGTCTTCAAGGTCACCCAGAGCCTGGACTGTCAATTCCAGCAAAGAAGCAAATTCTTTTCGAGCGAGGATGGCTTCTTGGACCTTATAGAACTTGTCTTTGGCCAAGGCCATGATCACATTAAATTGCTGGGGCAGAGAATTTAGCTTTTCAGCCAGGTAGGAATGGTCGACTTCATTCAGTGATGGTAGTATGGCCTGCCCAGTTCTCTGTAGCGTGAGGATGAGATTCTCGTGCTCTGCAGATTGTTCGAGAACGTGCTGGTATTTGGCCAGTTGCGCATGTAGCTCGGGGCTCTCATTCATGAGGTTGATTTCAGGGAATGTGACAATATCTGCTTGCTTCAGCCAGTGACAGGCTTTGTCAAAATCTTCCTTGAAATGCTTCCGGGACACTAAGTTTTTCTCCAGCTCTTGCAGTCGGTGGCTGCACTTTTGTAAAACGGAGTCATAGATGCTCTGCAGGTCCTGGAGTTTCTCTAGCACTTCGCTCTTCTCCTGCTCGCTGCCCCCTTTCATCAAGTCTCGGCCTTGGGCCCAGAGCCCGGTGACTTCACTCTGGTACGTCTTGAGACTGGCCTGTGCACTCTTACATGTTTTCACTTGCTTGCTCACATCGTCTGGTAAAAGGCAAATGTGCTTGCGGAATGTGATCTTCCGCTCATGCTGCTGAATCTGGCTGGTCGCCTGCGACAGGGCCAGGAGAAACCGGGTCTTCTCAGACAAGGCCTTGTTCAAGTACTTTCGCCTCTGGCCCACGAGGTCACCGAGGCAGCCTACATGCCTCTGGGCGTCAGCGAGCACTTGCTGGATCAGCTGCCGTTCATTCAGGCCGAGGTCCACCATTACCCTGTCAGCGTCCTTCATGAGCGATTTCAGGAGCATCTGCTTGGCCTCTAGCTCACTGCAGATTGCCAGGTGGTCTGTGAGGAACTTCTGCGCCCCGTCTAGCGGGGGGCTCTGCGCCAGGGCCTCAGCGATGCTGGGCTGCTGCTCCTCGGCCCACTCCATCAGCTCCTTAAACTTGGCCTGCACAATGTGTAACTCCTCCAGATTGGTGACGGACACTTGGATTTTCCTCTGGACAAGATCCTCCAGCTGGAACCAGCGCTGCTCAAAGTGACTTGTCTGCTCTTTGACTAATTCCCTGTCATCCAGGTTCAGGTGCTCGATCAATTTCTGCTTCTGGTCCTTGAGTGCCCCGAGAACATGCTTTCTCTCCTGCAACGCCAGTGCTAACTGCTTCAAAGCCTCCAGGTGGACAGTAGTGCTCTCTGCGTCGGACCTGAAAGGGTATTGAACAGCATCAGAGCCAGGCAAACACAAACCTCCATGGCTTACGTATCAGAATAGATGGTGCTTTGCCTTTGATGGCTACCGAGGAGAGGAGAGGATCAGGGAGAGGAGATGAAGCAGTAGGCTAGAGCAGTGGTTCTCAACCTTCCTAATGCCACAACCCTTTCATACAGTGAGTTCCTCATGTGGTGGTGACCCCCAACCATAAAATTATTTTCGTTGCGACTCCATCACTGTCATTTTGCTACTGTTATGAATCGGGTGACCCCTGTGAAAGGGTCATTTGACCCCCAAAGAGGTCACACGACCCACAGGTTGAGAACCGCTGGGCTAGAGGGAAGACAGTGGTTGGCTTGGGTGAAGGAGAAGACAGGATTCCATAAGTGGGAGACGAGAAAGGCATGGGGGAGTAGACAAGCTATTGGCAATTTGATATGTGGTTTATGTTGTGTAATACAAAACTGATGATCTGAAATGTAAACCCCAGCTAATCCACGATTTAAATTTTTTTTTAAAGCAATATACTGTGTTCCATAGGGCTTTCTTGGGAACTCTGGGCCTTTTTCCTAAGATGCCACTGGATGGATTTGAATTCCCCACTATTGGATTAGTAGCCAAGACCTTATAATCCGCATTGACTCAAAGACTCCAAAGGACAGATTAAGGTAGTCCCTAGATACGTCATCCCAGGCTGCATTACGGAGCTTTGGTATCCTGGTGCTATAATGGGTTATGCATTGGGCTGCTAAACTCAGACCAGACCGTTGGCAGTTCAAAACTATCAGCAGCTCTGAGGGAGAAAGGTAAGGATTCCTAGTCCAATAAGTGCAAAGGCATTCTACTGTGTGGATCGTAACAAATTATGGATACCTTTGAGAAGAATGGGAATTCCAAGACATTTCATTGTGCTCATGTAGAACTTGTACATGGGTCAACAGGCAGTGTGCAAACAGAACAAGGGAACACTGCATGGTTTAAAACCAGGAAAGGGGTTGCATTCTCTCACTAGACTAATTCAATCTGTATTCTGAGCCATAATCACAGAATCTGGATAATATGAAGAAGAATCTGGCATCCAGATTAGAGGAAGGCTTATTAACCACCTGCAATATGGAGATGACACAACCTTGCGTGCTGAAAGTGAGGAGGACTGGAAGCATTTGCTGATGAAGGCCAAGGATTACAGCCTGCCATTTGGATCACAACTCAATGTAAAGAAAAACTAAATCCTCCCAATTGTACCAGTAGATGACATCGTGAGCAACAGAAAAGGTTGCAGTTGTCAAGGATTTCATCTCGCTGTATTCACAACCAATGCTCGTGGAAAGAGCTGCCAGGCGATCAAAGGACGCATTGCATCGGGTAAATTTGCTGTAGGAGACCTCTTCAAAATATTGCAAAGCAAGAACATTGCTTTGAGAACTAAAGTACATCTGACCAAAGCCCTCATACGCATGTGACAGTCGGACATTGAATAAGCAAAGCTAGAGAAGAATGGGTGCATTTGCGTTGTAGTTCTGGCGAAGTACCACGGCCTGCCAAAAGAGCTAGTAAATCTGTCCTGGAAGAAGTCCAGTCAGAATGCTCCTGAGTCACAACGAGGGGGCCCTTTCTTTTAGGGCACTCCTTTGAAAAGTGTGAAGAAAGACTACTAAGTGTAAAACACCACTATACACCCGAAGCTGAACCCAATCAAGTTGCTTGGGTTCCTCTGCTCTGTCTTCTGGCAACTGCAACTCCAGGGTCCCTACTGAATGACCTACAAGAGGGGTGAGGGGGAGAGGGTCCTGATTTTTTCAAATAAAAGCACTAAAAGAGGTTTGATGACTGTATAATCACCAAGCACACGGTGCATGCACAAGCGACCAACGGAATGTTTCACTAATTCACTTAGACCACCATGTAAGATGTGAGCTGACTGAAGTACCCACAGTGAATTACTTGACAGAGTGGAAGGGAACCCTGCGGAACATCTGGACTCAATGAGCATTCATTTCATGAATCTCAGACCGCAGTACTGTTGTAATGAAAGGAAACCTGATAGGGTCTTGGTCTAGTCTTTTAGATCACAGGTATACTCTGATGTATTCTTTTAAATAACAGAGAAACACTATGGATTTCAAACATTTCTTTTTCTCCATTGGTCAGATTAATACTAGGAGCCTTGGTGGTGTGGAGAGTTACGCATTGGGCTGTACCTGCACGTCAACGGTTTGAAACCACCAGGTGTTCCATGGGAGAAGGATGCGATTGTCTACTCTCACGGAGAGTGACAGTCTCGGGAATGCACAGGGGCTATATTCTACCTTGTCTTGTAGGGCCACTGGGAATCAGAATTGACTTGATGGCAGGGAGGTTTTGAAGATTAATACTGGGCTAGGAAACCCACGCATCTGTATGCACATGATGATATTGGTTTCTTCCTAATGTTCTGGAGTCCCTGAGTCATACAACCCATTAACATGCTGGGCTGCAATCCAAAAGATTGGAGGTTTGAGTCCACCCTAAGGTGTCTAACAAGAAAGACTTGGCGATCTACCTCTGAAGGGAAAAATCAGTCCCTGAAAACCCCATGGAGCCCATGCCTACGCTGACACACCTAGAAAGCTGCCACGAGGAGGAGTCAAGTCAATGGCCAATGACTATTCACTCTGTTCTATCAATATCAATAATGATAGATGATACCTGCTAAAGAAAGTACGTTAGACAACTAACATGCCTACCGAAACTAGGCAGAGCAATTGTGTGACTCACGGGAGGGTTTCTGTTACCTGGCTAAATTATCCCAGTCCGTAGTGAATTTCTCTAAGAGCACTTCCACGGCCTTCAGGGAGTCATGGTAGTCTCGCGTTCTCTGGAGATCCTCTTCTCTGTGTGAGCACAGATGGCGGGCCTGGAGACACAGGTCTGACCACTGGTCACTGAGGTGGCCTATCTCCTTGTGTTCAGGAGACACCTGCTTTTCGGTGAACGTCTCCACCTTCTCTATGATAGCGGTCACCGAGGCCTGTTTGGATTGTACTTTATGAACAAAATCCTAAAAGGTGACAAAAAGAAGCAACATGGGAGGACCCCTTCAACCTGGGCAGAGTGAGACACAGACACACTTCTAGACATTTCAAGTCGCTGGGTACGATAAACCAAACCGGGAACGCACAGTGGGAGGTGAGGGACATGGGTTCTGAGAGAAAACTTGAAACTCATCACCCCTCTGGATGAACACAGCGGTGTAAGAATCAAAGGAGAGCTGCAGCATTTTCTTCATTGTGATACTTTGAAATATGGGGCAGGGGGCACTGATTCAGGCAAAATGATGTCATAATCTTCAAAAGAGAAAAGTAAGTCCCTTCCCCTGCGTTGTAGCTTCATCCATTGTCTGAAAAGTGTTTAGTCTCATGGCTTTGAGGAAAAATCATCTAACGTATGTCCTCTCTATTACTTTTCTGCATTTGCAAACAATATTCTAGTAGAAAATATCTATGACTCATTATCACCGAGAGACAATAAATCCTAGTGCTTGCTAGGCGTCTAGTTCAACCCTGAATCGAATGAATCAGCATATAGTAGTTGTCTATTAGAGTTTCAATCCTACAGCTTCAGCAAGGCCGCGCTGACCATCCACAACATAGTAGTGCTCTGTCTTGCTCAGTGGTAGAGTCCCCTTGGTGGCTCAACCACCGCTGGCATGATCTAGGAACACACACTTTGGAATCAGTGTCTGCAGAATGAAAGTTGCCAGCTGGAGTTCCAAGAAATGACTGGAATATGTTTGTGCTCGGATGTGTCTTTCCCTGGCACCACACAAGGTCTCTCGGACTCTCACTTATATTCCTTAACAGTAATACGGATGCCTTGGGATCATCTGGCACCAGGTGTACAGGAAGTGAATACGTGGAAGAGTTTTCATTTTTTTTCTACCATCGTTCTCTGTTCCCTCCCCAACAGAACCCATCCATTCCTACCTTTACTTGGGAAACCATGTTTTGTGCAATGTGGAGTTCCAGCTCTGCATGTCTCCTCTTCATATTCTGCAGCTGCTGGTCAGCATCCTGGAGATAGATCCACAGGTCTGCCTTCATGTGCTTGATCTCTTCCCAGCCCTGTGTTAAGGTTTGGGCCTGGGCTAGCCTCTGTTCAACCTTGAGAGAAAATAGCAGGCAGGGAAGTAGGGTGGAATTTAGAGCCGAAAGACAGGAGCATTTATGTTCAGTGAAGCAGTAATATAATTCTTTAACCTGTCCATGTGCCCAGACATAGGTATGTTTGTCTTTGCTATCACCTTTTATGTCTCTCTCACACAGACACACAGTGATGAGTCCAAAAAGAACTTAGCTAAGTTCTTCTTATGTTTAAGTTATCTAAAGGCTCAAACAATCTATGACTTACACCACATGATTTTAATCAGGATTATGAAGCTTTCAGAAATTTTCACAATGTAGTAGGTCAAAAGTTATCCTAATAACTGTTCGCCTCGGGCACTGCAATAGTGTGAGTGTAGTTGAATTACCTGGTGTGGCTTTTCCAGCATAGTCTTTATAATTCTTACCAAATGACTGGGTAAAAACGTGCAAACAAGGTGCTTGAAACTCTAATGGGGGATTGGTCGATTTGGCCATTCTGGTAAATATCAAATGAGCCATCCTAGAGGTAGATATGATGGATCACACAACCATCCAGAAAGAAGAGCCATGAGCAGAGCATTTCTCTTAGACCCTGAGAGCTCTGCATGGAGAAGTCATGGCGGCAGAGCCGGTAGCCGAGACAGTGGCTCCAAGAGCACAGATGTAGCTGGAAAACTCATGGAAGGAGTCACACAGAATGCCTTTGCAGAAGGCTGGTTGGCAGAACCAGATGCCCTTTGGGCATTTATGTGCTAAAGGAATTTTGTAACACTTGTCTGAGCAGGGCAGAGCCCAGTGGACTGAGTGGCAGAGGACAAGAGAGATGCGCCTGCAGGCATGGCTGAGAAAAGGCTCTCTTGATCAGAGAACTGCTGTATCCTGATCATTTCTGATTCGGGCTTGTAACTTGTTAGCTTCTATACTACACCTCATCCTCATGGATGTGATGTGTGAGCTTGTGAATATGAGCATGAGTACTGTGTGGCCATGGAAATGAAGTATCAAACGCAGCAGTGAAGCAGAGTGCTGCCGGTTAGATAGACAGCTGGCATCAGGACAGGGGAAAGAAGATTGGAAGCTGGGGGCACCTTTGGCCTCTGCCTTTTAGTCTTGGGCTTGTGATTCCCTTCCTTCCCCCGATGAAGTCAGGTGAAGTCAGAGATCCCCCATCTGTGCCATTTTTGTAGATAGTGACCTCTGTCTCACTGACACATGAATTAGGTGTTGGGTTAACTAGATCTCTGCTGTTCTCCATTGGATGTTTGTTGATGTTTTTAATCAGACACTGAGCTTTCCACATTTTGAGTATATTTTTAGAAATGGTTCTGTGGATTTTATGACTGTATACTTCATTTCAGTAAATCACTTCCCTAAAATGACACGAATGATATCTTCCTTATGGATTAAAGACAGATGCATTTTGTTAGTAATTGCGGAAGAGGAAAAAAAAAGATGTTATTTGAAGGCTTTCTTGCTCCTTTAGATCACTTGCACTATAATTATTTAAGAAAGTAAATACCAAAAATCAAGTCTCGTTTCTCTCTTATCCTCAGCCGTGTCACATAAAACACGTTAAGGCTGCAGTTGGGAATACACAACTTCTGTCCCCTGGCTCCTGTGCACAGAGCACTGCTCACACCACAAACACATTCCCACCAAATCCAGAGAGAGCTTCAGAACCCTCCTTGACCACCTGCACCCTACAGTCACTGCCGGTGACTGTATGGCATGCTCTTTGTCACCCCGATATAAAGCCATGGTCAGGAATCCCCTGGATATCGAGTATGCCCTTAAATAAATGGATAAGGAGAAATGAGCAACCATGACAACAGAAGCAACAAAATAGTAGAAAAATTTGAAACATGGGAACGAGTGATAATTGAGGGGGACAAGGGTGGGGTGGGGAAGAGGACAACGGTTTAAAACATGGATACAAGAAGATTGCTATGAAATCTTTTAGCTACAATTCAGGAGAATCTGCTTTTCCATGACATAGTTGAACCTCAACACCTGTGAGTTACATTTGGAGCTCTGGTGGCATAGTAGATGACATGCTGGACTACTGACCATAAGGTTGACTGTTCAAACACCACCAGTCGTTCCACTAGAGAAAGATGAGGTTTTCTGCTCCTGTACAGATTTCCAGCCTCAGAAATCCACAGGGCAGTTCGACTCTGTCCTCCGGGGTGGGTGTTAGTTGGAACTGACTTGAGGGCGGTGAATCTGGCTTTTTGGTTTGATGGATTTCAATCAATGTTAAGAGTATGATAGCAAGAATCATCAAAGGCAACCGTTTCTTTCAACACCCCCCCCAACACACACACACACACACACACAACTTCCATTCCATACAACGCAATACAACAGAAATACTCAGGGTGATTTGCAAGGCCCTCTGTACCAGTTGCTCCGTTTGCTGGATGTCTTTCGCTGTGCTTTTCACATCAGAGTCTGATAAGTCGCACATGGAGCAAAGGAGATCTAAGTAGGTGCGTGCTTGCTCTTGCAAAGCCCGGAAGTGCTTGACCTGAAAAGAGGCAGACGGTGGGATGAGCAAGCTGTGTGCTATCTCTGGGTATTGACAACACCTGTCATGCTTTGTTGACATTTCAAAACTGATGTTGCTATGACCCATGTTGCTGTTAGTGTTAGGTGCGATTCATCAGTTTGGATGCATAATGACCCCACACACAACAGAGCAAAACACCTGGTCCAGTGCCATCTTCACAATTTATTGCTTGGTCTGATACTTAATCCTTGAGCATTTTTGTAGAAGATGAGACCAGTGACACTCAGAAAAGAAGTCCAAACAGAGACAGGGACTCATTTTTCTACCATCAGCTTCTCATCATAACCTAAGGAGCCAGGATAGTCCAGGCAATGGGAAACCTGCAGAACCCTTATAGTTGTTTCAGATTCTCTGCTCAAATACTAGATCATTCTCCATTGCAGAGAAAAGATTGAATCACTACTCGGTCTTGCTTCTCATAATGTGGTTTTCCTGCAGGTCTTGAAGGCATGTAGAGGGATAGGTCAGAAGGAACATGCAAACGTCACTGGAGTGAGATAAAACCCAGATGGCTGAGCTGATTCTTCCCTCCAGAAAGTGCACATTGCTTGTCTCTTTCCATGTCCAAGAAAGCCTTCCCCGGTGGACCCTTAATCTACATACCAGGAAATATACTAGGGATCTTTGAAAAGTTTGGGAAAATATGAAATCAAAAGATTAAGGAATCTTCTTACAAACATGTTGAGACCCCTTCTGTGATTCTTTGAAGATGCTCAGAGACGATGCAGGCTCCCGGTTAAGTACTGCATTTAAAACAACACACCAAACTAGACCCTAGCTCTCATAGAACTTAGCCTCTCATCAGAAAGCAGATAGTTCTATATATGAAATCACAGACGAATAGGTCACACAATTTTTGGTACTGGTAAATTACAGAAGGGTAATAGGAAAGAAATATATTAAAAAGTTAAAAAAATAATAATTGCTGAAGATCATTCAAAAACGGCTGCAGCAGCATCAGTGAGGTGCATCCAGAAACGTAAGTCAGAGTCACAAAAGGACCCCTCAGGGGTCTCATTGCTGATGCCAGATGGATCTCGGCTCCAAGCAGAGAATGCCAGAGAGATGTTTACTTATGTTTTCTTGACTGTGCAAAGGCATCCGACTGTGTGGTTCAGAACAAATGATGGCTAGAAGAATTGAGAAGAATGGGAATCCCAGAGGACTTTATTGTGCTTCTGTGAGACCTATCGGCAGACCCAGAGGCAGTGGAATCAGTAGAACAAAGGGACACTTTGTGGTTTAAAATCGGGAAAAGTGTGACTCAGGGTTGCATCCTTTCACCAATCTCTTTCAATTTGCCTGCTGAGAAAGTCATCTGAGCAGCTAGACTACATGAAGCAGAGTTATGCGCAGGGAGTAGAGGAAGGCTTATTCACCACCTGCAAGGTGTAGGTGAGCAAACCTTGCTTACCGATAGTGAGGAGGGCTTGGCACACTTGCTGATGAAAACTAAGGACCCCAGCCTTTGGTAAGGAGGGCAACTCAATGTCAAGAAAATCCAAATCCTCCCAACTGGACCAATAGACAACATGGATGATAGATGGAGAAAAGATTGAAGTTGTCAAGGATTTCAAATCTGGTGCACAAGACCTCTAACCCAGTGGGCATGGCAGCCACTCCCCCAAGAGGTCCCGACCCACAGGTTGAGAACCGCTGCCTTAAATAAAGGGGGTGTCTCTTGCCTGCTTAGCAGCTTCTGCCCGGCTGAGCGGTGGCTGAGTGCTGGGCTTCAAGTCCGGCTGGACTGCAGACAGCCAGGCCTGGCACTGCTGCAGGGTGTCCTGTCGGCTAACATGCCTCTTCAGCTCGTGCTCCAAACTCTGGTACACCTACGACAAAGCAAGAACGCCAAACCTGCCAAAGATGGTCGTGACCTCCAGCCAGCACCTGGGAGGTCAAGGTCTAATTCATTAGATCCGCCCGTTTAAATGGAGAACAGATGGAAGTTGTCAAGGATTTCACTTTACTTGGATCCATCATACATGCCAATGGAAGTAGGCAGTCATGAAATTGAAGGACAGCACTATACAACCCATTGACCTGTGCTGCCAAGTGCTGTAAAACCTAGAGCCCAGAGGTGTCTGGCCATCTGCTTCTGAAAACTCACAGCCTTGAACCCAAGCTTATCAACCCACATCCTCAGCTTATAACCCCCACGGCACACATGATCACCCACACACCACAGTGGAGGGAAGGAACTGTGGGCGGAGTTAATGTAGCTGCAGAAATGCAGCAGACTTTTAGGAACATAGAGTCAGCACCGTCAATAAGCCGGAGGCCTTGGCAGTATTTTCCTGTATGGTGTAAACGCTGCTCTTTCTGCTTAAACTAGACACTAGGCATCAACGCAGAACACCGTCTCGTGAAAAGCTAACTGCTACGTCTCTCCCTCCATTCCTTCTGCTTTGGGGAGGAGGCCAAACTGGAACTCATTTAGAACATGGAGCCAGGGAGAGCTGGATGTTCTCACTTGATATTAGAAGCTGCATTCCCCAAAGATAATAATCTAAAATGATCCACGCTTGCGCAATATGCCAGCTCTGTGTTCAAACTATCCTTCTATTTTCTGTCAGGGTGCACCCCAAAACTTTCCCAAAGACTTTAAGCACCAACCATATTTCTAGAACCCGCTAGAGCAGTGGTTCTCAAGCTTCCTCATGCCGTGACCTTTTCATACAGTTCCTCATGTGGTGGTGACCCCCCCTCAACCATAAATTTATTTTCAATGCTACTTCATCACTGTCATTTTGCTACTGTTATGAATTAGGCGACCCCTGTGAAAGGGTTGTTTGACCCCCAAAGGGGTCACGACCCACAGGTTGAGAACCTTTGCTCTAGAGTTCATTGTCTTTCTCAACCATTTGTGGTCTTCCGAGGACACTGCTGATACGTTACCCTCTGGGCTGTGCTGCAGATGGCTGAATAGCTGTCCTTGGTGCCCTGCAGATGGGCGTGCACAGTTTGTTTCATCTTGGCCTGAAGGTGGTCAGCACACTGACTGATGAGATTATCACCTTTCCCTTTAAGGTTGTTCAAACGGTCTTCGAAGCCAGCGATTTCTTCCATCATGGCCTGGGAGGATGAAAGACAGAGTGCTAGGGAGCCCGCTTTTCATTTGCAAACTGCTTACTCGACAAATATGAAGAGGAAGATGGGTCACCTGGTGGCTTCTTAACTTGCAGTGTTTGTAAGCGTTTTGCAATTTGCCTTGGTTGCATGGTGATGATTTAAAAGATTCAAAGAGTAGAAACGTTCTGAACTAATGGAATTTCCCCGAGTGTTCTGGAGCCCCTTGCACTGGGAGATGGAACACAGAATCAAGTAAATGTAGGTTTTCAGGGCATGTGTTGTCCTCTCACAGTGTTAGTGACTTAAGGGGATTAAGTCACAAAACCCACTGTCATTGAGCCGAGTCTCTCTCACAGGGCTTATGAGACTGTAAATCTTTATGGTAACAGGCAGCCTCATCTTTCTCCCTCCTGCTCTTGGGTTTGAACCACTGACGTTATGGTTAGTACTCTAACAGTTACTCAACAATACCACCAGAGTTCCTTCTGTGATGAAGCAATTTTTAAGACTAGTGTGCATCCAGGACTGGTTTCCCTATAGAAAGATCTGCTCCATGATTTTATTGCCAAAGAAAACGATGTTCGTGACATTTGTTTTTTCAGTTCTTTAAAACATGATTCTGGTATAATACATAGCTAAGACAACCTAAGTATCATTCAACATGGCATCTATTCTTGAATAATTAACTTGTGTCTATTTCATTCTCAATACCCCATGTTCCTCCACCTGGGAGGAGCAAACAGACAGATGCTCAGTCCCAGCCACAGGCTGGCGGTGTCCGTCTGCTGAAGACAAGGTTGGCGATCTGCTTCTTGAAACCCCCAGGGGCAGTTGTACGTCACACACCGGAGGGCCCCACATGTCAGCTTATCAGTCGAGAGCTCGAGTGGCTCGTGTGTTAAGATGCTAGAAGCTATGGCGCCAGTATAGGAAATACCAGCAATCACCCTGGTGATCTCCTTCTGAAACGTACTCAACGAAATGCTCCGGATTACAAGAGAACATTGAACACGTCAGCAGGAAGGTTCAGTCGCTAGGGGAAAGCATCCCATCACACTGTGGGCAGCATGGGGCCAGCAAGGACACGGGCACCTAGACTGAACTGCACTGGACAGGAGCAGCCGCAACAGTAGACCCTACCATGCGAGTAGTGGGGAGGACAATAGGACTGAGCAGCATTTTGTTCTGTCCTGTACCGGCTTCCATGAGCCCGAGGCAATTCAAAGAGAGCTAAGAATGACAACACAAATATCAATATCTACTATGCTTCTAGCAATGTTCAACTTAATTAATTTGTTATATACAATTTATTAAACAACTGCTCTATTTCAGGACAGGCTCCCTCATGGCATTTTTGGGTCAAAGCGACCCGGCTTCCCCCAAGGTGGGTAGTTCAAACCCACCAGTGACTGCGAGAAAGTTGAGGCTGTCTCCTCGCGTAAGTATTTAGAGTTCCGGCAGCCCTATCCAGAGTCGTGACAAGTCAGAATCAACTCAGCAGTGGCACCGTGGGTTAAGCATTGCGATGTTAACCACCAGCCACTTTGCAGCAGCACAGCGAGGCCAGCTGTCTATGCTGGTCAAGATTTAGAGTCTTGGAAAGCCATCGGGGGAGTTCTACTCTGTCCTCTAGGGTCACTGTGAGTTAGAGTCGACTCAATGGCAGTGAGTTTGAGCTTGAGTGTACGACAAATGTACACAACGCTGCTGCTTGACAGATGAGGAGAACGAAGCAGCAAGAGACTGGTGAACACCCAACACCAAGTTTCCACCCTCCCCAGACCTGCACCCAACTCTGTGAAGTCACCTCACACCACTAGTCCACCCACACCCTTTCATTGAGTGTTCACATGCACCTCACAGGGAGGAGGCACCAACGGTTGTTTTAATATCTTTATGAGCATGATGGCCATGGGGACACGGCTTCCCAGATGTATAGCTCACTAGTCTAGGGCAGACCCGTGTGCTTCCTCCGTGCAGTCTAGCGCACCATCACGTTACTGTTGGTGCCAGGTGAGCAGTTACAGTCACCAGCTTTAAAGCACTCTTTTGCTTGGGGGTCGAGTCAAAGCACTACAAGATGGAGTTGCTAAGGGGACAGAATATCACCTGGGTTGTATTCAGGGTCTAGCAGAATGTATCATGTGAGTGATTGTCTATTTGCTGAGTAAAATCTCTTACAGTCAGGAATATTGAACCCGAGAGGTTCAGGGGCTTGGGGAAGACTCATTGCCCGAAACTGACCAAGTCATATTAAATGCAGTTCCCTATTGTGGTCACCAATAGTTGCTGTATTCAATTGTGACCATACGCTATCAATCATTTGGCACACGTAACTACTAACAAACATGTTCACATAGAGAAGGGAATGTTACATCAGTTTCATTCTATGTGGTTTGCAGGAATCTTGTCCTGTAATGACCACAAAGGTTACAGATGGGGCTGGCATGACGATCACCTGGTAAGAGGCGTTTGCAAGGAGGCTCAGAAAGCCCGAGTCCTCTTGGGTAGACTCTGGCCTCCGTTTCAGACTTCCTTAACAATAGCCCTAGATCCAAACCTGGGCTCTACTTTTCTAAAAGGAAATCATCCATGTCTTTGATAAATGACTCCATGAAAATGAACTGCTGAGACAAAAATATGTGCTGGGGAAAAACCCTGTAATGTAGTCAGAAGCTGAATGCTAGGATTCAACGATGCTTGTTGAGCAAATGCTCCTGATCAATAGGTATCCACCTTGCAAGTATTCTTGAGACTCAGAGCTGATTCTGCAAGTACAATCACTGTAACACACAAAAAGAGACAGCTGCTAAAGCCATCCTGCTCAGGTCTTGGCACCACCTGTCTGTCAGCTGGTCACAGGGGTGCGTTGTGTATTGCTGAGAGAATGGAAGCTACGCTATGGATACTTCAAATACCAGCAGGGTGACTCGTGGTATACAGGTTTCAGCAGAGCTTCTAGACAAGAATAGACTGAAAATAAAGGGTAGTGGTCCACGTCTGCAAATTAGCCAACCCTATGAAGCACAACAGAACATCGTCTGATTTTACTAACTGGAAGATGACCCCACTCCCATCCTAGAATGGACCACTCTCAAATTCACAGAGTCCATAAAAATGGATGCAAGCACACCACTGATGGTGAGATGGCTCAGGGCCAGGGAGCGTGTTGTGTGAGAGGTCTCCATGAGGCACAGCCAACTGGACAGCTGTTTGGGGATGAAAAACACCTTGTGATGGGCCAGCTGCTGGGTGACGGTCTCCAAGCTGCCTGTCTCCATGAGGTCCGGTGCCACCAGTCGGCCTGACATCTGTAGCAGCCACTTCTCCACTTCCTGGAGCTCACTGTTATAATCCTCATGGTCTCTGACTTTCGCCTCAAGGCGGAAGACGTGCTCCTGTAACACCAATGTCCATTAAAGGGGACCTTCAAGACAAAAGCCCACCTAGCACTATTCTCTATTTCCCCAGCCCAGAGGGGCCCACAGGAAAGGCAGGTTGACCTACATGGGAGAAACCACGAGGAACATAATAAAAGATAACGAGTCATTTTCTGTCATAAAGGCCCATTTTGTCTTCCAACAAACAGCCTTCTTTTTTTTAACCATTTTATTGGGGGCTCATACAACTATTATCACAATCTATCCATCCATCCATCCATCCATCCATCCATCCATCCATCCCTCCATCCATCCATTGTGTCAAGCACATTTGTACATTTGTTGCCATCATCATTCTCAAAACATTTGCTTTGTACTTGAGCCCTTGATATCAGCTCCTAATTTCCCCCCTCCCTCCCCGCTCCCCACTCCCTCATGAACCCTTGATAATTTATAAATTATTATTTTGTCATGTCTTACACTGTCCAACGTCTTCCTTCACCCACTTTTCGGTTGTCCATCCCCTAGGGAGGGGGTTATATCCACATCCTTGTACTCAGTTCCCCCTTTCTACCCCATCCCACTTCCCCTCCGCCCTCCTGGTATCGCCACTCTCACCACTAATCCTGAAGGGATCATCTGCCCTGGATTCCCTGTGTTTCTGGTTCCTATCTGCACCAATGTACATACTCTGGTCTAGCCCAATTTATAAGATAGAAGTGGGATCATGATAGTGTGGGGGGGTGGCGAGGGGTAAGAAGCATTTAAGAACTAGAGGAAAGTTGTATGTTTCATCATTGCTACACTGCACCCTGACTCGTTCGTCTCCTCCCAGCGACCCTTCTGTAAGGGGATGTCCAGTTGTCTAGAGGTGTGCTTTGTGTCTCCATTCCGCACTGTCCCCCATTCTCAATGATATGATTTTTTTATTCTTTGATGCCTACAAACAGCCTTCTAAGTGAGGTCAGCTAAGTTCACACAGAAGAAGCACATCAGCCTGGGATGGTAAATATTAAACTCAATAAAATTTTTTTTTTACAAAAAAAAATCCAAGACGTGGGGTGGGGTGGAGAATTACATTCAAGCTTAAATTCTGAGCACCCAGTTTGAAGAAGGCTATGGATGATAGTGAAAGCCCCAAATCCATTTGCAGAGACCCCCCAAGGCGGCAGCCTCTGGTGACGTTCCTCCTACTGTTGACCACGTATGTGAATAGGTTTGCTATCAGAGTGCATTGGGAAGTGGATTAATGCAGGTGTAGCTAGGTAAAAATTGGACACCTTACTATTTTTCTCCCCTGTAAAGTTAAAGTTTGTTCTTTTACATTTTATTTTCTGCTTTCTTTTGGATTGAGAGTTTTCTGGGTTTGTGTTTGTTCTTGCTTTGTTGTTGTTGCTTTGTATACAAAATCCGGGATAGGGAAATCTATAGGGACAGTAACTGGGTGGACAGTTCCCTAGGATTGTGGTAGGGGAAGGTTGGGGGAAATAAGGAGCTGATAATGATGAGTACAAGAAAGAAACAGATGTTCTAAAAATTGATCCTGGTGATGAGTTCACAACTCTTTTTTAACATATTAAAACCATGGAATTGTGTGAATTATATGCTAATGCAATTAAAAATAATAATAAATAATAATTTTTAAACTGTCCATCCCGGTAGATGGTGAAAATGGCAGCCCTTAAAACGACCCAAAAGATTCAGGGCCCCTTGGTGAAGAAAGACCTTCAGCTCACCCCTTACCTTGACTGCATGGCAGAGGGCCTGGTAATCAGCTCGGAGCTTCTCAAGCTTGTTTTTTAACGTCACATCCTGCACCAATTCCAAAAGAGCTTCTCCTTTCTCACTCACTGATTTCACTGAGGGCTCATGCGACAGCACCATTTGTTGGAGGGACTTGAATTAAGAAAGAAAAGAACAGAAAAAGAGCCAGTTCATGCAGGTGCTCAAGACCAGGGACACAGCTAAGAGCTGGCCCACCCCAAAGAAGGCTGGTATCTGATGTGTCAATCAAACCATGGGAAAAACACTTCTTCCCCTGCAGAATCAGAGTGACATGCCAATTGGCCTCTTCAGATGTGGGAAGAGAAATACGGGAGAGAATTGCATTTGGGTGGCTCCATTTATCATCCATCATGTACCTGTGGCAGCTGGCATGTTGCTATGATGCTGGAAGCTACATCAGCGACATTTTCAATCACCACCTCTCTAGGGTAGGTAGGTTTCAGCAGCGCTTCCAGACGAAGACAGACTAGTAAGAAAGACCCGGGTCTTCCTGGAATCTTTATCAAGGAAAACTGTATGGATCACAGCATATATTGTCCCGTCTACTACTGGAAGATGGTCCAGAGATCATGACGGTGCAGAGCCTGGCAACCTTCCATTCTTTATACTTAGGTTGCCGTGAGAAGTGGACTCCATGGTGACAAGCAACAACAACAACACATTTAGCATACTTGTATTTCTGGCTCCCACCTCATTTCTAGCAGCAGAGAGATGGAATCTCAACCTGGACGGAAGGGAATGAGCCTCCTAACTTTTGATGTGATGTTTCTGAAGTTTCATTACAATTTGAGCTGGACAGGAAGCTGGATCCAACTTCCCACTGCAACCTTGCTATGGCACTCTAAGAGGGCTTTGTAAATATCAAGAACTTCGTTTGGGGGTGGGGGTGGGGAAAGAACAGGTTGTGTTTCTTCTCTGGCACCTTCCACAACAAGCTGCTAAGCTTGGCAGTAAAGCCAACCACAGGAATAGACACATTGGGCGGAGGAAGTGCTCACAAAAGCTTCCAACAGGAAAGACGTTTTGGGATAAGGCACACTGTAATTATTAGACTACTGCCTAATTATTCCGATCAAATCTAAAACATTCCATAGATAAGCTTAGATGGTTGTTTAAAAAAAAGTGAGCTGGTAAAGGATCGGTATCTCTGTCCTGTGCAGAATCCCTGGATGAGACAGATGGGGAATATGCCCGGGTGCTAACCTCAAGGGTGGAGGCTGGAGACTTCCCACAGGTGTCTTGGAAGAAAAGCCTGGTGATTTCTGAAGAAATCAGCCTTTGAGAAGCCTATGGAGCACAATTCTACTCTGCCACACGCTGGTCAACTGGAATTGGAATTGATTCAATGGCAATTGGTTGGTTTGGGTTTTTTTTACATCGTGTGTCTAAAACGTCGCGATCAGTTCAGTCATTCTAAAATTAATTTATGTTATCTAGCTATAGTTTGTTCATTAGAACTTCAGTCCTTATGTTGATAGTATTTCTTTTTCAATTCATCATAGGTCATTATATAGGCCTTGGGTATGAAAGTTGAAGAGAAGTCTCTGTGTGGGCCAGGGAGAACGGAAAGAAGGCCAAGAGGATTTGTTGTGAGGCTTACATATGCCTAGATGACACGCTCTGAAAAGACCTCCATCTATAGATACAAGCTTTGAGATTCCGACAAACACGATCCTGGAACAATCACTCTGAGAGAGTACATCTTGAACCAAATCAATCCACCCCTGTGAAAACGTCATGTAGAGCGGACATGCCGACGTGTTTTACCAGGAGCAGTTCTGCTGACACACGCCATGGAGTTCACTCCCTCCCATCCACAAGCAAGAACACACTACCTTGTATTTGGATAACTGAGCTTTTTTCTCGTATAATTCCATCTTGGGCACCTCCGGGGTGTGCAGGATTTCCTGGTATTCTGCTGCCCACTGAGTCTGTGCTTTGTATTTATCCGAGAATTCCTTGGCTAAATGCATGCCTTTCTCCAGGGCCATGCGCTCTTTCCGGACGGTGCTGGTCAGTTCCTTCAACTGCTCCACATGACCATGGGTCTCTGTCCTCAGGGTTTCCGCCTCCCCGTCCCCCAAGAATGGAAGAGCCCTCTCTGCCTTCTCCCGGGCTGATTTCAGCAGACTCTGGCCTTTCTCCATGTCCTTCAGCAAAACCTGGGAAGGAGAGTGAGTAAGAAACACATGGAAATAGAGTCAGACTTCATTCTTTCTTCTTACAGAAAAGGCGTTTCAAGTCTCAGCTCCAGACTCACCAAGAGAATGTACCTTAAAATAAGGGTCTGCAGTTTATAACAAGATTTATCCTAGCCCAAATCAGGAATCAATCTTGCTTCTTGAAAGTGAGGAGGACTTGAAGCACTTGCTAATAAAGATCGAACATCGCAGCCTTCAGTATGGATTGCAATTCAATGTTGGGAAAACAAAAATCCTCACATCTGGACCAATAGGTAACACCATGATAAATGGAGAAAAGGTTGACATTGACAGGGATTTCATCTTGCCTGGATCTACAATCAACACTCATGAAAGCAGCGTCAAGAGATCAAAGGGCATTGCGTTGGGTAAATCTGCTGCCCGGGACCTCTTTACAGTGTTGAAAAGCAAGGATGTTACTTTAAGGATTAAGGTGTGCTTGACCAAAGTTTTGGTGTTTTCAATTGCCTCATCTTGTTGATGTCGTTATTAGGGCCCTGTGAGTTGGTTCCTGTTCATAGGGACTATCTGCACAACAGAAGGAAACACTGCCTGGTTCTGCCCCATCCTTACAATTGTTCCTGTGTTTGAGCCCATTGTTGCAGCCGTCCACTGCGCTGTGTCCATACATACGTGGCGATCACCTCATATGCCAGTGAGAATTGGACACCGAAGAAGGAAGACCGAAGAAGAATCAATGCATTTGAATTGTGGTTCTGGCGAAGGCTATTGACAGGACCATGGACTGCCAGAAGAACAAGCAAATCTGTCATCGTGGAGAAGATGTACAGCCCAAATGCCCCTTAGAAGCAGGGGTGGCGAGACTTTGTCTCGTGTACTTTGTGCAGTTGTCGGGAGAGACCAGCTCTTGGACAAGGACATGACGCTGGGTAAAGTGAAAGAGCAGCAAGAAGAGAAAGAGCCTGGACAAGATGGATGGACACAGTGGGTGCACTGGTCGCCTCCAACATCAGAGCCTGTGTGAGGCCGGTGCAGGACTGGGCAGTGTTTCCTTCTGTGCTTTTCACAGGCCAGCTATGGACTCTTCACAGGCCAGCTAGGGGAACGGACTCGTTGGCCCCTAAGCACCACCACCAACAGAATCAGGAATCCTTTTTCCTTTATGTTATTTGAAGCTAGAAAGACCATAGCCGGGAATGCCTTACGGACTTTGATTTATTCCTTTGAAGGAGAAAAGAAGCTAGAAACAGACTAAAGATCTGAAACACATGGGATCGTCATGCGCTGGAATCCACTCCTGAGCAGTGGGCCCAGTTTGGGAATATAAGTTTTAAAAGTCTTGATCCACACACTAGTAGCCAAGTCAAAGATTTAAAAGAAACCTGATGCTTCTCCCATCCTGGACAGAGAGAGAGATTTCTTTTTCTCCCTTAAACTCTTAATTTGTTTAAAAATGCCATGAGTGTGCACCCTGAAGTTACTCCAGACTACACGACTTCACAAGCAAATTGAAGCTGTCTTTGGCCATCAAAGGCCTCTAAGCCAGTATCTGGGGTGAAATGCTTAGGGGCGTGGGGAGTGAACATGTGTTCAGGAGAGTGCTGGAGCCTGAAGAAGAAGGAAGGTTGAGGGGTACGTCTGAAGACCACATCCTACCTCCAGCATCTTCATTTTCTTCCCCATCAAGGCTTTGTCTACTTTATCGATTTTCGTAGCTGCATTCTTGAAGTTTTTCTGGGTAGCGCTGTACCAGTCCGCATAGCAACTCAGGGATGACTCGGATTCTTCTAGGCTCTGAATCACTTCCTCCAGGAATTTGATTTGGTTCTTAAAGGAAGGAACAAACGAGAGCCATGTGTGAAAGAGCCCGCGTCCCCACTGATACAAACTGATCTGTGACAGAAGTTGGTGAGCCGGGTGCCTGGCGGATGATGCTTGCTGGCCACTCACCAGCACATGAAGCAGCAGAGCCTGGTATCTGGAAGTCAGCTGGGTGGCCTGGCAGCCCAGCCGGCTGCTCACATGGCTCTCATCCAGGATCTCCTGAGCTCCAGCCCCCACCTCCTCCACCTCGTCCCTGTGTGCTGCGATTTCCTCATGCCACTTCTGAAATGCAGGAAAGGGGGAAGTGGGCAAAGAGTCCATCTGAGGCATTCTGGAAGAACCCTAACCGACCAACCACGTGGCCAAGTCCGAAGCACAGAAAGCCCAAGTGAATGAGAGTACAGCTGGTCTCCACAGGGCTTGCCAGGGCTGATGATTTAGAAGTGGATCACCAGGCCTTTCTTCATAGGCACCTTGAGGTGAATATGAATCACCAGCCTTTCAGTTCACATCTGAGCGAGTTAGCCTTTTGTATCACTCACTGACTGCATAAGACAAATATATGGCTATATATGTGCGTATGCATGTGCGCGTCCATAATGTTTATACACATATATTACTATCTTCTTTTAGTGTAGGTCTATATTGAGAGGCAGATTCAAAATGTATCCTCTGCAGCTTTATAGAAATTGTATCACAACAACATGACAAAACTTGTACGCTAATGTTCTGAGTATTTTATACACATATTTATATACATATGCACCAATATATTTACATATATATTACACGTCAATTCAAACATTAAAAACAAAAACCCAAAGTGGCATGTATTTTTAAACCTTCTGTTATACTTGAATCTTTTTATATACATATTATTTAGTCTTAAAATAGTTGAACGACAAAATGGAACTCCCATGGCAATGAAATTAAGTAAAATGGCAATAAAATGAATTATCATGTACTGTTCCAACATACGAGATCAGATCAGAAAATTCACATACTAGAGGAATTTCATATCAGGAACATCCATCTATCTCTAAAAAGCAAGGAAGAAAATGGAAAATAATTCTACTGCACTATATTCTATTAAAGACTCACTCAGGACTCTAGGCAACCATTTCTGTAATAGGGACGCTTTACTCTCATTTTTTTTACATTTCTAGGCATGAAAGAGGAGAGTTTGCAAAATCTAAACCTTGGGCACAAAGCCCCTAAATATTTCAGTGAAACAAACAATGCAAGGTGACTGCTGTGGACGAAGATAAGACCTTTCCCTGAGCCGTACCTTCATCTGGTGTAACTGGAGCTCCTTGGTGGCTCGGGAAGACTGACCTCTGGGCCTCACACTCACTTCCTTCTCCGTGGCTTTCAGCCAGTCATCGACTTGCTGCAACTTCTGCTCCATGAGTCTCAGTTTGTTCACAGCGTTGTTGAAGTGAGTGCGGGTCTCCGAGAGCCTCTGCTGGTAAGCCTGCCAGTCCTGGCGGAGGGACTCCAGGGCCCGGTCCTCAGTTTGGGGGATGCCGAAGGGGATCACTTCCTCCCTGGTGTGCAGCCCGGCATTCAGCAGCGCCTGGCCCTCAGCGCAGCGCACCTGCAGCTCCTGTGGGGGGGAAAGGCAGCGTGGCGCTCCTCATTCATATTGTACACCTACCAGGTGATCATGTCTCGCCCAAGCCAGCGGTTCCGGCTCAACCGGCCCATCAGCAAGCCTAGCATTGCATCTTCTATTCTCACCCTGGGCCGAACCCTGGATATTATTCCTGGGTCAGGAGAGAAATGCTGAAATCCTTCCAGTTTGAATGATTAACAGACACACCCCAATATTTCCTCAGTCATCTTAGAAGTCAATTTTTGCAACCGGACTTTTTCCAGAGACGAGCTGAAAGAGTTAGGATTAAAGGGCTATGGGGTGGAAGAACAGCATTTGAGTCAACTCAACACCTCGCCATTGGGTTGGTTCTGACTCACAGCAAATGTAGAGGACAGAGTACAACAACCACTGTGGGTTTCTGAGACTGTAACTCTACACAGGGGTAGAAAGTCTCATCTTTCTCCTGCAGATCAGCTGATGGTTTTGAACTGCTGAACTTGAGGTCAGCAGCCCAACGCGTAATGACTATGCCATCACATGTAAAAGCCTTATACCCCGCTCAAAGAGTCTAAGGCTTCTCGCACACGGATGGTGATGTACTCAGGGCTATACTTGTGGCTGAGAAAGGAGCCACTAACACTCCATATGCTATGGAGGGCCTTTTCACCAAAGCTGTTCTTGAGGGACAATGATGGCCGTGAAACACTGGCCCTGAAGCTCACAGGGCACACAGCTGGGAGGTGCCGGCACCGGGGCAGGCTTGCAGTCATTGTGTCGGCCAACCAACCCCTCCAGAGGAAAAGATACTCCTTCCACCAGAACACAGAGCCTGAGCATGCGCCCTCCGGGTACATGATGAACCAAGTCTCAAGCAAACGCAAGGCAGTATGTGAGTTTCTAAGGCAAACAAACAAGTAAGCAAAAACTCTCATTTGATCTGATTATCTGAAACTAATACCCATCCTATCAGGAACTTTTAAAAGCACCAATCTGTTGAATGAAAAACCATTGATACAGCTGACATGTGATCATTTCTGTGATCCTGATACCAGGGCTGGTATAACAGGAATGTGGAACGGGAATGGGAATAGAGGATTAATACACAATGCAGTTTCAAAAAGTTGGTGGGGAAAAAATCGGAATGAAAAGATAATGGAATTTACCCACCAGTGTTTTGAAGCTCTCTTGTCGATGGCAAAACTTTTAATCAGAAATCTTAATCCGTATGGTCACACCCATAGAAACTTTATTCCAAAGTTCCTTGTGGCTTCATGGGCCATTTGGGCTCTGTTGCAGCAAATCACTTCTTCATTATAGCACGGAAGGAGCCACAAGCAAGTCAGAAAGGACTGGGTCTGACCGGGTTGCAATAAAACAGGTCTTGGGGCTGTTCTTGACCTATGGGTTTAACCTGCTGACTAACCTCTATCCTAGTTTATGAACCTGCCCAATACAACATCCTTTCTGTATTTTATAAACAATTTTATGTATTACACAAATCATCACGGTGTTAGACAAATTCTTGCACATCCTACATTTCACTGGGAAGAAAGAACATGGTCCAGAATTTATAAAACTTTGTTCCATCACCCGGATTAAGCCTGTGGGTGACAGGGAGCCAGTTGGGAAACTAGCCCCTCCTCTGGCCTCTGTGGGACTCCTGGACCTTGGAGATGGTCTCTCGTGTGGCTGGAACATCTCAAGTCTCCCAACACCTTTCTTCTGCAGCTGACACCCACCTTCTGCTCAGTCTGGCATTGTGGTGAATTAAAATCAGAACATGAGAGACATGAGACTTGGCGAAACCAGGGATTGGTTAGCTTGGGGCCACGTGGATATTGGCGTGAGTGAAGGTTTTTTTTCTAACTCAAACAAGAGAAACATCTGTTCATGACCAGGAATCCACCCTCCTGGCTCCCCACAGAAGGCTGGAGTGCTTGATGTCCGCTGCCAAGAGTGCCTGCAGGGAAGTGCTGAGAGGGGTCATTCGGGGAAAACAAAGTCAATGCTACTAAAATAAATGACAACTGCTCAGCCTCGTGGACGAGCCTCTCCTACTATTTTAAGACCAAATAGACGAGGTCCTTAAATACATACATGAGCTTGTGACCCTTCTAATTCCTACTAGAAATTTACTTCCTGGGCAGATCATCTCATGTCATCCTCACACCAACTCTGTAGAGGCAACAGGGTCTGAGAGGCTGTCTCTTCCCTAAAGTTGCCGGGTCAGGTCCCAGAGAGGAGGAGGTTTCCTGGCCCCCTCCTCAGACAAGATCCATGGGTCCAAACTCAAACAACCAGAGAGGTTGGGTATCAGTGATATCAATGACAGCTCCTGTTTTTCACACCTTGGTTGGTACAGTTTGTCCGAACTGGAACCAAAAGGGAGAATTCCTACCCACAGTAAGGCAGGGAGTTCTCTCACTGATCTTTCTCCATCTCTACTATTTCACCTGCTTGGGACACTGTAACACCTACCTGCCTCCTTAGGGAAGATTAAGAATGCTCTCTGATGCCCTAAGAAGATCCTTGTCTATTACTCTCCTTAGCCTGTTGTTTCCAATGATCTCCCTATGAGTCTGACTTCCTCACGAGCTGACTTCCTGGCAGGCAGGAATAATATCTTAGTGATTTTTCTTGAGCGAGCTATCAAAGAGTTTGCACTATAATAAGCACTCCATAAACGCAGAATGAGGAAATACTTATCATCAGGTCCCCACCAGGTATTCCTCCTCGATTCACACCCTGCTTGCCTACGCACCAACAGGTCTCCTAGCTCTCCGTATTGCTCCTGCTAGACTGTACCTGCATCTTCAGCAAGGTTGAAGCCAGATGGTCCAAGCTGCTGCCATCAGCCGGACTTTGAGAAGTCTTATAATTGATTGGCACCTGACATTGCATCCCACATGGGAGTAGATGTGCCAGGGAGCACTACATGAGTGTTCAGCCAGCGACACACATTAGACTTGTCGCCATTCCTTCAAGGGCCACCTTGCTAGCCCACTGTTTTCTCTAAGCCCTAGTCCCGTTCGCTCTAAATTATCTACCACATGATCTCAACCATCCCCAGGGCTGCAATTGTTATAGATTCATCTTCCCCTTACAATAGTAATTCCATGTTCAGAGGGAGAATTCCTCTGTTTAGGATGAAACAGATTTTACCTGAAGATCACGCAGTGTTGCCTCGTGAGACTGGGCATCGCCTTCAAGAACTGAGTATCGGGCAAGTTTGTCTTGTTCCTGCCCCAGCCACACTTCAAATGCATGGAGTTCTCGCTGATACTCTTGATGCCGGCGAACTCGTTTTTCAGACTTGGCGACTGCTTCCTATAATTAGCAAGTAAGGAGAGTGAGGCAGGACTACGCTCACACCTACAGTGCCCATGTGCTCTCAGAATTACCTTTGAATGGCTCAGAAGGAATCTTTACTACATCACTGGACTAAGACATGCTTCCTGGAAGAATGAATCTACAAAATACATATCCAAAAAATATAGAGACATACTATTTCAGGGCTATAAGGGGTTGTCAAGAGTCATTTTGTGGACCCAATCTCTGGATAGCTTGTGACGTGCAGCGTGAGCATACCAACAAATACACTACATTCCCCTTCTCATACAAACACCTTTGCTGAGGAAGAAAGTGGAAACCAGGAGGGTGCCTCCAATGAATTTTTGGGTTCACTGCAGGTTTTTTTTGAGGTAGCTCATTTCATAAATCTGGGTTTGCGCTGAACAATTGATTTCAAATGATTTCTTTTTGGAAGTCTGAAGAATACGAATTCCAGGTCTGAGGTAGGTCCCTCAGACACAGGAAGTCCATCGTGAGATTTCCTTATGAAACGGTCCACCTTTGTTCTCCATTGGGTGAAAGTATGGGGACTTCTAATAGAGAATGACTTGACTTTAGTACCTTGCATACACTACTTGTAGGTTCTGTCCGTGGCACCTTTTAAGTCTTAACAGGCATCCCTGTTGCTTCATGTCGTCTATCTAGTTTCACCTGCCTGGCCTTCTGCAAGGGAACTGTGTCTTTCAATCAAGACATGAAACCAAGGCAGAGCCTGGGCAACGCTACCTTAGCCCTCTCTTGGACCGCTCGGTACCGCTCCTGCAGGTCCTGCAGTTCCAGCTGGGTGACGTAATGCTCTGTCATGCCAGCCCTTTTGACTTCAATGGTCTCCAGCAAGCTGCTGTGACTCAGCACTTCTTCATTTAACAACTAGAAGACATTACAATAAATGAATAAAGGAGTTAGTATGTGCACCATCATATCAACAATCCCGGTCAATGTAAGACAGTTTAACTACAACCAGTGTTAATCTATATTCATATAGATTATCTGTTATAGCGTAGATTATATTAGTATATATATGAAGGGGATTTAAAGTTTGTGGAAAATGGAACCAGGGCATATCTCAGAGGTGCTAGGGAGCCGAGGACTACCCTCTTAAAGATGCAAAATAAGTTTTTCTGTTTTTCAGTAAATGAAACCCAGGGTTTTTTTCTCCCCCTATATTGTATTTTGTCATTGTGGGTAGCCTTCTTGAATCTTTGTTACCTGGTTTTCGGCAAATGAAACCCAGGATCGTTGAACCTATAGGGATAGCAAGTAGAACAAGGAGGTTGCAGGGTCTTGGATGGGGGGTGGAGGGTGGGGTAAAATGGAGCGATAAAAGGGAGACAGTGTCAAGATATCTAGGAAGAAATGGGATGTTTGGGAACAGATTATGGAAGCAATGGTACAATTCTGCTTGATGAGATTGCACGATTCAGTGTCATGACATTGTGACATTTGGGTTAATTCCCAAGTGAAAATAAACTGAAAGACCACGCAAACAAGCATAGATCCAGAAATGGTTTTTGGTCTCACCCTAAGTCCCAGCTCCAACTTAAGAACAATTAGTGCTGACATCCAGACCCTGCTCAATACCAGCCTCCAGGGAGGGGACGCGGAGGGGAGGAGTGCTACAAGAAATGTGGTGAAAAAACAGACAGTGCTTGGCTAGTAGATAAAATAGTGCCAGGGATCTTAAGGCTTGTCTCCAAACAAGCAGTTATCTAAGTGAAATGTCAACTAAGTCCGCATGGAAGGAACACACCATCATCAGTCAACGAAGGATTGTGAAGCATATCATCCAGAGCCTAAAGTCTGAGAGCCTGGTTTGCAGAAGGCACTGGATGACAGTGGGAGCCCAAGATGCACTGGTGGAACAATACAGGCAATAAACCTCCGGCGAACTCCCTCCATCCACAGTTGAGGGACAGGAGGAAAGTGGTCAGCAAACAAAGGGCATTAGTGAGCTGAGGATAGAGGTCAAAGGCAGAAGCCTGACTTGAACAGTTAAAACGTGTCAGCAGATTCCCCTAGGAGGCATGCTGGACCTGATCTGGTTTCCAAAATCTTATGTATTTGAGGAGGTTGTATTGCTTCATTTGGTTTTCGATTGTACATTTTAAGGGGTATCGCAGGAGTGTCCTGTCATTGGGGGGCACCTTCTTGAAGTTGAGATATTGTTGTTTGTTTGTTTCATTTTGGGGGTATGAAAATCAGGATTGATGAACCTACAGTCAGCAAGTGGATTAAGGAGGCTGGAGGAGGGGGACACAGAGAGGGTAGCAGAATGATGACATCAATGGGGACCACATAAAAAAATGTTTAGAAATTGACTGTGGTAGCAAATATACCATTCTGCTGGAGATTCTTGAACTATGGGATGATTTGACATGTATTAATCCCAATTAATAATTTTAAAAAGACAATGGAACTTTCCCACAAACTTTTAAAGGCCCGTGTGTGTGTGTGTGTGTGTGTGTGTGTGTGTAGAGAGAGAGTGAGATAACTACAAGGTTAGCAGTTCAAATCCACCAGCCACTCCATGGGAGCAAGATGAGGCTTTCTGCTCCCATAAAAATGAATATCCTCAGAAACCCACAGAATCAGTTCTATTCTGTCTTAGGCTTGATGACCGTGAGTCTCTATAGTGCCAGATAACCATCTAATGCCTGTTTATGTACATACATATGTATATATATGATATATATACATGTGAGTGTATGTACTTATGTGTCCTTCATGGGCCAGGTGCAGAGGCAGAGCGAGGGCATTCTGGGAAAAAGAAAGAGATCCCACAAAGGCATGGCATAATAAAGACATGGCTCCTGCAGGCGGTGAGCTCCCATAAGGCTGGAGATAGGGCGGAAGGAGGTGGGGAGAGAAAGGAGCAAAGCAGAGCTGGGTGATGGGAAGCTGACAGGAGCCCTTCAGCTGGGTGGTGAGGAGAGCCTGTCTTTGATGAGCACAGTGGGTGGAGCCAAGAGACCCAGGGTGTCCTCAGGAGGCTTATGCACAGTATTAATTCAGTGTTCTGAGATAAAATCAGCAAGGCTTCCTGTGTGAGCTAAGAAGTGTTGAGAAAAAGGGAGCTAGAGATAATGGGGTTTCCAATTCAGGATATAAACTGGAGGCGCCCCAAATTGGCTGACGATGAAAATATACGAGGTTTAAAGTTTGGGAACAGAAGCAGGTTATGGGGCTGCTTAGAAGACAATAAGGTTGAGACGGGAAAGACTACTTCCTGACTTGGTCTAGCAAACACTTGCCAAACCAGATGTGGAGTAAACAAATGTCCCAGCGCTGCTGTCGGTAAGAAGGAGACTTAGGGTCATACCTTGACAAGGATTATGATTTATTATTATTGTCTGGTTTTGATCATTTATTTCTAAAAAACACATGTGCAATTTCACTAACATCATGAACACCAGGAAAATTACATGAAAACGGAATACCCGTGGCTGTGATGAGGAGACTAATTCCTGGATGAGCAGGCAGAAGATGCTGACATCTACTACAAGATGCCAAACTCCATGTGGCCGGTTATCACGAAACCTGGGTCGACTTGATTTTGACTGGAAGGGAAGTTTTTATTCACTGAATAGAATACCCACAAGCCAAAGACTGGTTTAAGAAGCCATTAGAAAGTATAGTGCAAAAGGAGATACACTTATAAGGAGCGTCCTAGAATCTAAGTAAAACACCATGCTTGGTCACGCAGAGAGGCCGTGAAACAGAGGAAGGCCCTGGTGAAGTGGATGCACACAGGGGCTGCAATGAAGGGCTCGCGCATAAGCACAATTGTGATGATGGCACCGAGCGATGTTTTCGTTCTGTTGCACGTAGTCGGGTTCCTATGAGTCAGAACTGACTAACAGCAGCAATATACACGCGAGGGCATTCGTGTAGTCCTGGTGGCATAGTGGGTTCTGAGCATGGCACAAGTTGGTAGCTCGAACCCACTCGCTGCTCCATAGAAATATGAGGCTCTCGATGCCAGTAAAGGTTTTTAGCCTAAGAAACACAAGATAGGGTCTATGAATCCAGACTGGTTAGCTGACAGTGGGGCTGGGTGTAGTTTAAAGTGACCAGACATCCCGCTTTTGGTGGGACAGTTCTGATTTTTAACCATTTTTCCCGCGTCCCAAGGCATTTTTAAAAAGCCCCAATTTTTGCAAAGAATGCACGACAAGCTAGAGTATACGGTTTTTGGCTGCCATGTGGCTATTTCACCAGGATATGAGCTTTATCAATCGTGCCCCGCTTTTGTCCCGCTTTACCAATGTTAAAATCTGGTCACCTTAGTGTAGTTACTGCTCTGGCATCCACAAAGAGTTCCTGAGGAGTCTGCAATGTTTCCCTACTTGATTGCTAACTGAAAGGCTGGAGATTCAGGTTCTCCGCGAGGTACCACAGAAGCAGGATCTGGCCATCTACTTGCTCATCCATAGCCAGCCACTGAAAACGTGACATTCATCCAATGACTCTGTGCCATCTGGCATGGGGCGGTAGAACCATTTCTAAGCGGGGCGTGAAATCAGGCTCTCACCTTGGCTTTTCCCAGAGCAGCTGTTTTCTCCCCCAGCTCCGCACACTGCCGCTCAGACCCACTGATGCTGGCTTCCACACCATCCATCCAACTGGAAAACTGTCGGACGTCATCCTGGTAGTTTGTCCACTTAGAAAGGGCTCCTTCGAGTTGACTGGAAGGGATGTGAAGGACAATTATTGGTACTGAGCAAGCTCAGAAGTTCAGCCCATAACACAGTGCCTGTCCTGTCCTCCGGCGAGGAGACCCAGCCACCAGAGCTCTGGCTCTTTGGTAAGGACAACTATGGAAGACAAGGGGCAGTTATGTCCAAGTCAACAAAGACCAGACCGAGAACTGGTCACCAGGTCAGTCCGTCCTTCTAGTGACTGTGAGAGGCTTGAGGATGACATAAGGCATTCCCTGTGAGAACCTTTTCTGGAGCCATTCCCTCCATAGGAAGAGACCCAGGAGTTAAAGATCCCCCAGGTTCCCTCCTTTCCCCAGGAGGGAAAGGAAGAACTTACTAGACCAAGGGAGAAAGACCCAAGGAAGAATAACAAGCATAGTAACTCTCTTGTATGAGATGTACAACTTAGAAACTCACAATGGAAAACAAACATATTTTTTTTGAGTTAGTCTAAATATAAAAACCTGGTAGTTTATTGAAAAATTAAGTACTTCTCTTCCTTCATCTATGAAACCCTTAGGTAGTGCAAATCGTAAATGAAGTCCCCTGCATACCCAAAGGTTGGTGGTTTGAGTCCTCCCAGAGGCACTGCAGAAGGCAGGCCTGGAGATCCACTTCTCAAAAGCCAGCCATAGTGAACACTACAGGACAGAGCTCCACTCTGATACATCAAGGGCCACCACAAATCGGAATCAACAGGAAAGTTGGTTTGTGGCTCTCTCAATGTGCGTGTTACATGTTGAATGCTGCTTACCACTGTGTCTGTGGTAGTTACATAATCTGATGTCAACTTGTGAAAGGGTGGAGTCTAGGCACCACGGGGATAAATAACCCACTAGAGGTCATACACACAGGCTCTCTGCTTTGATACTCTCTCTTCTTTGTCTACCTGTGGGCCATTCCTGTTGATAAGCCACATGGACTTATGCTGATGGCAGCCAGAAACCACGTGGAGACCCACACCAGCCCTGGGATGCTTCCACTGGATCCACAAGACTTTCCACCCACTGGCCTGTGATTTGCCTGCATTCAGCATCATTGCATGTGTTGCATGAGTCTGAAGAGGAATTTACGAGCTGGTATCAGACATATGGGCTAATATTGGACTTATGGACTTGATCTGGACTGGGCTGGGATGTTTTCTTAATATATAATTGCACTTTTATATAAAGCTCTTTCTTTTTCTTTTTTAAAATAATTTTATTGGGGGCTCATACAATTCTTATCACAATCCATCCATCCATCCATTGTGTCAAGCACATTTGTACATTTGTTGCCATCATCATTCTCAATACACTTGCTTTCTACTTGAGCCCTTGATATCAGCTCCTCATTTTCCCCCTCCCTCCCTGCTACCCCCTCTCTCATGAACCCTTGATAATTTATAAATTATTATTATTTTGTCATATCTTACACTGTCTGATGTCTCCCTTCACCCACTTTTGTCCATCCCCCAGGGAGAAGCATCTCTCTAGATTTGTTTCTCTAGTCCACCCTGAGTAACACAGCATCTAACTGCGTGACCCTGCTGTGTGTCCTTTGTAGGAGGCATCACAAGACACCCTGTGATATACTGCCTTATATGATCCTATTCCAGAATACTGTCAACTGGGTTTCCCGAACTGTCCGTTCCCAGATTTGGTCTGATGGTGTTCTCTGGCCCTAGGTGCCCAGTTGATGTGTGGAGGAGGTAAACATGAAGTGTCCAGGGAATTACCACCCCAGAGAGTGGCCCTCATAGCTCTGGGAGCGCTGGGCCTTTGTTTACACATATATGAACCTCCTCCCCCTTGGGTGAGTCACTCCTGGGAAGAAACCTGTTCTACCCAGGCACCCAGCATTCCCAGTTATATCCAACTCCAGTGCCCAGTGCTGCCGTGAGCCCTGGAATCAATTTCATGAACAGCGGCCAGACAGGACAGGGTACAACTGTGCCCTTGGGTTTCATGGGTTGTAATCTTCATGAACCAGATGACCAAGTCTTCCTTTCCCAGAACTACTGGTGGGTTTGAACTGCTGATCTTTCAGGCTTCACCATCCAACCATCAGGGATCCTGGGCTGGCTGGCTGGGACCTCCTGCCTTGATCTGCTGTCCTCCCTTGTTCACCATGCTTTCCCACCTCCCACTGGTGTTCCCAGGCATGGTCTTCCAAATAAAGCGAGAGTCTCTGTCAGATGCCTTCGCCTCAGCCCCATGAACAGTAGAGTCAAGGTCATGCTGAGATTCCCTGCAGGGTTTTCATTGGCTAATTTTTCAAAGGTAGAATGCTAAGCCTTTTGTCCTCATCTATCTTAGTCTACAAGGCTCTCTGGACAAAGGCGTGGGGCCAGCATGAAGCTCTCCCATGTTGAAAGTAGGAATTCCACCCCAGGACCACCACTGCCCTCATCCCAGGCCAGCTGCTTTTAAACTCATCAATTGCTTTTAAACTCATCCATCATTATGTGATGAAACATTGAGTGATCTTTGACGTTTTGAGTGATGAATGACAGCAACCAAGGAGACGTGTGGTTTTAGTTACATAAGCGCTGGGCTTCGTGTTAACATGAAAACCACCTGGGGGTAAGAAAGGAAGACCCGAGAGGGTTCTGTTACAGAGACCTCCAGCAGCTTTGCAGAGAGGCCTTCTCGGTGCTGGGCAGCAGCTATATTTACCTTTTACAGCGAATCCCGGACGACAGCAGAGAAGCCCACATCTCCTTCACGCTCTGCAGTTGCTGCTGGATGGCAGGGCTGCCCTCTGGAGAGGTGTTCTGAAGGGCGCACTCCCCTCTGGTCACTAACATCTTCATCTGGATCTCCTTTTCCTGCTTCACTGATAACAGAGCCTACGAAAGTCAAGGGCAGGAAGATTTGGGGTCTACATCTGGTCCTACTGTCTTCTGCAGCCCAGCTCCCAGACTCAGACAAGGAATTCTTTGAGGGTCAGATTCCAGTCTTCTCTGGTTCCCAGGTATCAAGACGGGGGGTGATAGCTCCATGATGGGGAATGGATGAATGGAGAAGGATGATAGCAAGCAAGTGTGAAACAAGACAGGCAGCTGGGGGTGGGAGAGGGAATGGCTGAACTACATAGGCAGGCCAGTGAGTTGAAAGGTTTGCCCTTGAAAATGTTCCATTGATGCATTTTCTCAAAATAAATGTCTGCAAACACAGAAGTGGAAACCAGCCTCACATCAGACTCTCAAATGAGTAACTACATTTGGGGCTTTCTTTGATGGAGAGTTGTTAAAAGGCCACCACTGGTCAGTTGGTCAGACTGTGGTAGTTTGTGTGCTGCTGTGATGCTGGGAGCTAGGTCACTGTTGTTTGCAAATACTACCCGGGTGACTCAAAATGAACAGGTTTCAGCCGTGCCTCCAGACTAACAGCAGATGGCAAAGAAATAATAGGCTATGTGCTCCAGAGGAAATAACCGCTGAAAACCTCACGGAGAGTATCAAAACGCAGTCAGATATTGAAAAGCTCATGGATATTAGCAGAGTATTATTAGATACAGTGCCAGAAGATGAGTCCTTTGCGTCAGAAAACACACAAAATATGAATGAATAAGAGTGAACTTCTCAAAGTAGAGTCGACCATCATGTTGTGGATGGAGTAAGCCCAGGGGAATAACGTCTCCGGACCTTCATTTGCTAATGAGGCATGACTCTAAATGAGAAGAAGCAGGATGTCACTTTGAGGCCTAAGGGGTGCCTGACCCATGCCATGGTATTTTCAATTGCCTTGTGTGCATATGCAAGCTGCACATTGCATAAGCAAGACCAAAGAAGGCTCAATGCATTTGAGTTATGGTGCTAGTGGAGAATATTGAAAGTACAGTGAACCCTCGCCACTTCG